GAATAAGGTCTAGAATGATGTGTGTTAAGTTTCGTGAAAATGGGTTCAGATTTGGATGTAGCTCCCCACATATATCTTCGCCCAATTATATGTAATTGGTGCACCAAAGTCCCTATATATTTTTCGATTCGCACGAATTTTGGTACAGGGTACTGAATTAAGTCTAGAATGATGCTGCTAAGCTTCGTGAAAAGATCCATTGCTAGGCCGATTGACACAACGTACTGAAGTTATATTAATTAGTATCTGGCAAGTTTCCCTTAAATCGGTTCAGATATCGATATATAACAAACACACGACGTCTTTTAGGATACATATGTATAATATACCCAAAGTGGTGAAGGGTATCATATAGTCTGCCCATTCCGACTTTTCTACTTTCCTTACTGGTTTAAAATAATTTTTTCAAGGACTGCAAAAGGTTTGGATTTATTTTTTTTTCGATTCAAAACACTGTGCACTTAATCAAAGTTATTGTTTATTGTAATATAATATTTCAAAATAATTCTACTGAACTTAATTGAACTATTTTATTGATAATTACAAATTCAATACGTTTAAATCGCAAATTAACATACACACACGAACAAACATATACAAATGATTTATCTCTTGCTCATTAGCAGAAATTCAACACTTTTTTCAATTGTATAAAAAAATATATGTTTGTACAAACATATGTACATGAAATCAGTATTTTTTCTCCATGACCAGCTTTGTATTACAAAATTCACATCGTGTAAATTGAAAGCTAGGCAGAACAACAACAACAACAACAAAATCAAATACACACCAAGCCCACTCGCTTATTACAAACAAATCATGACAGATGAAATTCATTCATTCATTGGAAAAACAAAAACGCTAAGACTTTGGCAGACTTGTAAATTGTTGCTAAATACTGCTCTCGCTGTACACATGCACAAGATAAATGACGGGGTATTGTTGCCAAGAAATAATAAAATTAATCAAAAATGTTTCTATGGAAAATAATGGAACCTAGTTTTTTAGGATGATTTCCAAGAAAAAGTAATTCTCTGATTTTAAGAATAAATCAATCATCAGTTTTGGGTTTAGGAAAACGTCAATCCCCAGTTCCTAAGATTTTTTTCAATGAACTAAAACTCGATCCTCAATATTGAAGAGTTGCTTCAAAGGAGTAAAACATGCACACCGATGTTTTACTTCAAATGATATTTCTTCGATGAGAATGTATTTTTAAATAGCAGATACAAAAATCAATTAAAATTGTTTGATACAAAATTTAAAATGTTTTCCAATGTACATTATTTATTCAGACTTCGAAGAAAAATTAAAGAATATCACAACGTTTCATTGGATTCATGTTGGAAACTTTTGGACATTTTAACACATTGGCAAACTCGGTAAAACTCGTCAAGGGCCTGATGACACAAAATTTCTTCGGTGCATGTGCAGGGTAGGATGAAAAACTGCAACCAACTTCAGGCTGCTGTCATTTCTAAGCCACTCGTCCGACAGCTGTTAAAATTATTCCAGTGACAGCTCATTATATTGTTTACAAGCGTACAAAAGCATTTTGGTGAGAATTTTCCAGAGAAAAAGTTATTCGTGATACGCTCGTTACCGTGATACTGGTAGCGTAGCCCGCAATATCAGCAGAAATGGTTCGAAAAGTAAAAAAGCGACTTGATCGAAACCCGCGTCGTAGTGGCCGAAAAATGACTTGTGAGCTGAACATATCGCAATATTCCATTCGCCAAATATTGAAAAATGTTACCCCAAGCTCAAGCCATTGAAATTCCAAAAAGTGCAAGAACATACACCGCAACAGCAGAAAATAGACTCGAAAGAGCTAAGGAGTTGCTTGGCTTGGCCGAAAGTGGTGAACTGTCAAATTTAGTGGTGAACTGTTTTCTCATCGTAGAAAACATTCGTTGTTCAGCAGTTTGTAAACAAACAAAATGATCGTGTTTACTTGCTAAAGAGGTCAGCTGAAAATGTACACCTTCCGTTGGCCACCAGAACTCAAGCGCCGGTCATGGTGATGGTGTGGGCCGCCATAACAGCCGATTGGTGCCTCTACACTCGTATTAATCGACCGTAGCACCAGAATGAATGCCGAATATTATCGCGAAAATATTCTGAAGTGTGTATTAAAGACTTGGACACGCAAACATTTTGGCCGCAAACCTTAGACACACAAAAATGGTTATAAAATGAGGTTCCTCGCTTCATTTCCAGCGCACAATGGCCACCAAAATCGTCGGATACCAATCCGTTGGACTATTGTGTCTGGAATATTTTGGAAAGCAAGGTACTAAAAAATACCAAAATGTCGATTACCTCAAGCAAGCGGTACGCCGGAAATGGGCCTAAATACCGCAGAGCAACATTCGGGCAGCGTTTGACGGTTTCATTGGCCATTTGAAGGCCATAATTCGTGCCAAAAGTGATCAATTCGAAAAAATCTAAACTTTTTCTAAAATTTGATACTATTTCCGACATTTTTGTTTTCATTCAATAAAATTAAATACCGCAGAGCAACATTCGGGCAGCGTTTGACGGTTTCATTGGCCATTTGAAGGCCATAATTCGTGCCAAAAGTGATCAATTCGAAAAAATCTAAACTTTTTCTAAAATTTGATGCTATTTCCGACATTTTTGTTTTCATTCAATAAAATTTAAAGTGGCGATACTTTATCTTTCATTATTTCATCAACATCGACACCAAAGAATTGGGCCAAGTTGAGGAAAAAAATTTCTTATTGTTCAGTTTCATATTGGGAAGCAGTTCATCCAGCGACTCGAGGGTCTGTTGATTTAGCCAACGTATATAGGATTTATAGGCTATTTGTATGGCACCATTATCGGCTATGTTTTCCGCCTACATATCGGAGATGGGTAAATATTAGCCATTATAAAAAAAGGGGAAACTGATTTTTAAACCATTCCTTTTTGTAATTAGGGTAACGTCATCCCACCAGGTAGTGCTGGTCATATTTGAGGAATTGGTGCTGCTGTGTGGATGTTTTAAGGTACCAATATCATCAAAGCCATGTAATAACCCATAGGCCAAAAGGCAACTCAAGGTGTCAAATTTCAAAACCTGAGGATAAAAACTGAACCATAGATAATTTGGCTGTATCAGAGATACGGGTATTATGATCAGATTTTCCTCTGGAATAAAGACCGGCGAATAGCCCAACTGGGGTGTGGGTAATTTCAGTTTCCCTGAGTGACTTATTTGCTGTAGAATTTTTATCTCTCTCAAAGTATTAATTTCCTTTAGATTTTCATTATAGCTGCCTTCACTGATCTTCAGAAGCCGGTATTCAGAGGTAAAGTTCCGCTTCTCATTGGAATTAATGTGCAAATTCAGCAGATTCCTTTTTTCCAAGGCCCGCGAATAGTTTGCAATACCTTCCGCAGCAATTCATGATAATAGAGACTACACTCATAACAGGTGACATTTAAAGGGTAATCCAATGTGGTTTCCAAAAATGTTGGAAATTTCATATTTTACCCATGCATAGATTGTAGTTCTTTGGGGGTATGTTTTATGGAGGCCGCCTGTAAAACGAACCCATTAGACCCCTCGATAATGGAATTTCAAAATCGAAATTATTTCATTCGCCACCACATAGACCCCTTCTGGCGTCATATTAAGAAAATCGATTTAATTATCGTGAATTCCCTTTTGATATTCTTCATGTAAACGTGGTGTATCCATACCTTGATAGACAATTTTGGTAAATAAGTGAAGGGCAATGGTTGGCCTACAAATAATGCATGCAGCGAGGAGTTATCAATATCAGGTCTCAATCCTAATAATATCAAAGTCATTTGTATATTGTATTGAACCCAAAAATTTGAAGATATTTAATGCCTGTTCTCCGCCCATCTTATGTTCGGATCCCCCCGGCATGTAATCGAATTCTGCAATAATTTTATGCATTTCCTTAAACAATTGAGGTATCTTTGCCATAAACATTTTAAGGCAGGATTTATAAAATCTTTATTTTTTATAATTATCGTCCTCCTCTTCATTATCCATACCATATTCTTCTCAACCATTAAAAATATTCTGACTTCAAAAAACATTTTTAAATAATCCACGCATATGTCTGGCTTCAAAAAATATTTTTTTAAATCATTTTTTAAAGCTGCGCCAAAGGCATGGCTTTTAAAAAATGTCTTTAAGTCCAAGGAATGGCTTCAAAAAACGTTTTTAAGTACAAGCCAAATCATGGCTTCAAAAAATATTTTTTTAAAAAATCCACAGCTATCCCAGGTTTTAAGAAATCATTACCTATGTCAGGTCATCAAAAAATAAATATTTTTTTGACAATCCACACATAAGGCATGTCCGCAAAAATATATTTTTAAATTCCCTCCTAAGACAGATATTCAAAAATATATTTTTAAAAAATCCGCGCCTAAGTCAGAAAATAAATAGCTTCCAAAAAATATTTTTTTAAAAAATCCTCGCCTCAGGCATGGCTTCTAAGAATATTTTTTTTTTTTAAATTCAAGTCTCAGGCTTGGCTTAAAAAAATATTTTTTTAAAAAATCCACGGCAACCCTGTAACTTGCGGATTTATTTTTGTGTATGTTTGGAAGAAAACTATTTACGAAATCTGTTGATAACTTTTTGAACTGGACTGTATACAAAACAAAAAAACATACACAACCGGCTGGTTGGCTGTCTGGCTAGCCGCCGGCCGACTATCGAACTAGCTAACTGTAAGACACAGAGAGTATTCCCCAAGCAAAGAGCAACAGCTGTAGTCTACGAATGAATGGGCGAGCAAACACTCATTGTCAGACACTTTGCAAATAGAAGATGGAAAAAAATGAACAACAATCCGACAACTACAGTTGGACAGTTGTACTTGTTCGGTACAGTGCGTAGCTCTTGAGTAATTCGAATTGCGAAGGTGGTGGTCGCGGCGACAGTTTCGCTTGTTTTTATTATTTTTTCGCATTCTCAATTTTCGTGAGATCCATGTTAATCGAACATGTGGGGACAGCATTTCGCTAGAAGTTTATTATTACTGTTCCAGGTGTTTCATTTTGTGGACTTTGGCCGTGGTTCACCAACAGTTCGGTTGCATTTGGAAGAGAATCGCATTTCACAAAATAATGATTCGGAATATGTGGCGGGTATTATGCGTTTGGCCAAATCGGCAGAGATGCGGAATTACATGAAAGCGGATGAAGATGTTTGTGAAAATTACTATGAATATGCTTGTGGCAATTGGCCACGTCTTAATCCAGCCGAGACGACTGCCAGTCGAAAAACGTCGATAATTGATTTGTTGGAGACGACCTACAAACAAAGGCAATTAAGGTTACTGATGGAGGGTTGGGAGGATGAGGAGAAAGAGGAGGATGAAATTGCTGAAGAATATCCAGTGGATAGTGGCAATGCTGAGGCTGTGAAAAAAGTGAAGGACTTCTATAAATCCTGCCGTAAAATGAGCATGGCAAAGAAACCTCAGGTGGTAAAGGAAATGCGTGAAATAATTGCAGAATTTGGTGAAATGCCGGCATTGTTGGGACCCGAACAAGAGTGGGAAGGGGAAGAGGAATTTAATGTCTTCAAATTATTGGGTTCGATACAGCATCGCTATGGTTTTGATATTATTATACAATTGGGTTTACGGCCCGATTTTGATAACTCCTCGTTGCATTCTCTGTTTGTCGGCCAACCTGCCCTGAAGTTACGTACCAAAAGTGTCTACCAGGGTATGGCAACACAACGTTTACGTGAAGAATATCAGAAGGGGATACAGGATAATTTAATTGATTTCCTTGATATGACGCCGGAAAGGGCCTATCTCGTGGCCAAGGGTATATTGGAATTTGAAATCCAATTATCCGAGGGTCTAATGGATTTACATACTGAAAAAACTTTACAAGCAGCCTCCATAAAACGAACCCCTGAAGAGTTGGAATCTTTCTATGGTGAAAATATGAATTTTCTAACATTTTTGGAAACCACTTTGGGTTACCCTTTAAATGTTACCTGTTATGAATATAGTCTGCATTATCATGAGGTTCTACGCAGGGTATTGCAGTCAACACCCAAAGCCCAGGTTGCCAATTATATTATGTATAAATTGGTTGAGCCCTTCTTTATGGCCTATGATCGTTCCTTTGCCGCCCTGGAGGAAATGTGTCTGGAGAAGACAAAAAAATTCTATCATCATGTTTTGGACTATATGGTCTACAAGAGTTATGATACGCTGTTGATGCAGCATGACATCGTGACAATTTGGCGTGAGGTGAAGCAGACATTCCGTCAACAAATGGATACCACCCGTATGGATTGGTTAAGTGAACAGTCCCGCAAACGGGCCTTGGAAAAATTAGATATGCTTAATTTACACATTAATTCCAATGAGAAAAGGAACTTTACTTCCGAATATCGGCTTCTGAAGATCAATGAAGGCAACTACATTGAAAATCTAAAAGAAATTAATAATTTGCGGGTGATTAAGTTTTTGGAGCAGTTAAGTAATCCAGGGAAATTGGAATTGCCCACACCCCAGTTGGGTTATTCACCGGTCTTTGTTCGTGAAGAAAATCTCATCATAATACCCGTATCTCTGCTGCAACCAAATTATCTATGGTCCAGTTATTATCCTCAGGCTTTGAAATTTGGCACCTTGGGGTTCCTGTTGGCTCATGAGCTATTACACGGGTTTGATGATATTGGCACTTTAGCACATTCACACAGCAACATCAATTCCTCCAATATGACCACGACCACCTGGTGGGATGACGTTTCCCTCAAGGCTTTCAAGCACAAAAAATCATGCTTTAAAAATCAATATGCCCACTTCCGTTATAATGGCAAATATTTACCCATGTCCGATATGCAAGCCGAGAATATAGCCGATAATGGTGCCATACAAATAGCCTATAAATCCTATATACGTTGGCTGAATCAACAGACCCTCGAGTCGCTGGACGAACTGCTACCCAATATGAAACTGAACAATAAGAAGTTATTTTTCCTTAGCTTTGCCCAATTCTTTTGTGTCGATGTTGATGAAATAATGAAGGATAAAGTATCGCTATTGGATGTCCATGCCCCTGCAAAATTTCGTGTCATCGGACCTTTGGCAAATTTCCCCGAATTTGCCAAGGTATTTAAATGTCCACAAGGTTCGACCATGAATCCAGTTAAACGTTGTGAAATTTATTAATTTAAGGATATGTGTTTTTCTCTGTCGCAGTCTGAAACGAAGTTATGTACCTTAGAAGAAAAAAATTATTTTTTTTATTATAAATAATTTTAATTAATTTTTTTATATGCTGTTTTTCTAATAAGTTATTATAAATACCAAATACCCACATTTTTTATGTTTAATAAATGTCAATCATAATTTTTCTTATATCCTCATCGTCGTTTTCTTTTTGTTCTGTTTTCTTTTGAAATGGAAAAGTAGCTGGGGGAAATGACATCATTGTATATGACATCATGGAAGGGGAAGGGAGTAATATCGCCACAAATCTCCAGAGGATAATTATAATGGTTATGGGGTTATTAAATAAGGAAGCAATAATTAATAAAAAATTAAAATTTAAAAATCCACGCCTAAGGGGCATGACTTCAAAAATTAAATTTTAAAAAATCCTCGCCTTAGGGGCATGGCTTCAAAAATTAAATTTTAAAAAATCCTCGCCTTAGGGGCATGGCTTCAAAATGTATATTAAAAAAAATCCTCGCCTAAGGGGCATGGCTTCAAAAATTAAATTTAAAAAAATCCACGCCTAAGGGTCATGGCTTCAAAAATTAAATTTAAAAAAATCCACGCCTAAGGGTCATGGCTTCAAAAATTAAATTTAAAAAAATTCACGCCTAAGGGACATGGCTTCAAAAATTAAATTTTAAAAAATCCACGCCTAAGGGGCATGGCTTCAAAAATTAAATTTTAAAAAATCCACGCCTAAGGGTCATGGCTTCAAAAATTAAATTTAAAAAAATCCACGCCTAAGGGTCATGGTTTAAAAAAATTAATTTAAAAAAATCCACGCCTAAGGGTCATGGCTTCAAAAATTAAATTTAAAAAAAATTCACGCCTAAGGGATATGGCTTCAAAAATTAAATTTAAAAAAAATCCACGCCTGAGGGGCATGGCTTCAAAAATTAAATTTAAAAAACTCCACGCCTGAGGGGCATGGCTTCAAAAATTAAATTTAAAAAAATCCACGCCTAAGGGGCATGGCTTCAAAAATTAAATTTAAAAAAATCCACGCCTAAGGGGCATGGCTTCAAAAATTAAATTTAAAAAAATCCACGCCTAAGGGTCATGGCTTCAAAAATTAAATTTAAAAAATCCACGCCTAAGGGTCATGGTTTAAAAAAATTAATTTAAAAAAATCCACGCCTAAGGGTCATGGCTTCAAAAATTAAATTTTAAAAAAATCACGCCTAAGGGACATGGCTTCAAAAATTAAATTTTAAAAAATCCACGCCTAAGGGGCATGGCTTCAAAAATTAAATTTTAAAAAATCCACGCCTAAGGGGCATGGCTTCAAAAATTAAATTTAAAAAAATCCACGCCTAAGGGGCATGGCTTCAAAAATTAAATTTAAAAAAATTCACGCCTAAGGGACATGGCTTCAAAAATTAAATTTTAAAAAATCCACGCCTAAGGGACATGGCTTCAAAAATTAAATTTAAAAAATCCACGCCTAAGGGGCATGGCTTCAAAAATTAAAGTTAAAAAAATCCACGCCTAAGGGGCATGGCTTCAAAAATTCAATTTTAAAAAATCCACGATTAAGGCATGGTCTCAAAAAAATATATTTTCATAAAAATCGGCGCCCATGTAATTTTTGGATATGAACTATTTTTTAACATCCTTATTCAATTCCCCTTTACTAAATTCTAAATTTTCGCAAGATATTATAAATACCATCAACCCTCGAAGAACACTACATGTCAAATTTTGTGATACATTCGCTGAGATGGTATTGTAAATCTCCCCAAAGAATATTTTCTCATCGATCAATTTATGTTTTGACGCGCGTTGAGATTTAATGGCAAAGGGAAAATCTTACAAGAAAATTGAACTGTCAATTTTTAGATACTACCAGTCAGGCATGCAACCACTCAGCCAGCCAATCACTATCATCTTCTAACACTGGGGACCAAATAAATTCGTACGCACACACACACACACACACATTCTCACACACAGAATGTCAATGTAATTGATGTTGTAAAGCAAGAACAACAAAAATGAACACATTCGAACCCCTCCCCACCCTCCATTAGCTATGTTTGTGAAGAATTTATATTATGATTCGTGGTCAAGGGCGTGGACTTATTAAATGTTCAAGGTTCGAGATTAGAATGTTATCACAATGTTAGTGAAACGGGGGAATGGGAATGCCTAACCTAAATAATGTGATTTAATATTTGGGGGACATTAAACGTGGGGAGGAATTTTTTTGGTAAGCCATGTAAAGAGTGTTTCTTCTAGCCTCATAAGAGGCGTGGATTTGTTAAAGAATAACTTTTCTAGCCTCATAAGAGGCGTGGATTTTTTAAAGAATGACTTTTCTAGCCTCATAAGAGGCGTGGATTTTTTAAAGAATAACTTTTCTAGCCTCATAAGAGGCGTGGATTTTTTAAAGAATAACTTTTCTAGCCTCATAAGAGGCGTGGATTTTTTAAAGAATAACTTTTCTAGGGTCATAAGAAGCGTGGATTTGTAAATTAACAATTATTTTTGAGTGATAACAAAAACTTTTGACATTTCTAAGACACAATCAATAAAGTAACATTGATTTCCTTTTTCATATACTTTATTTGTATGGCACATGTTTCAGTTTCCAGATAAATGGCCCTTCCCAACCACAACCATTTTATCATTTGATGGCATTAAAAATAAATGGTTCGTCGTAATAAAGTCTTCTATCCTTTCAAACTTTTTGTCATATAGTCACATAAAAAAGAAGGAAGAAACTTTGTTCGTTTCTTTTTTTTTGTAAATAAATTGAAAGTAAATAATGACAAACACACGCATTAACTACAGATGACTGACTGTCTGAGTGACAGTCATCGGTGACATCTTTCCAGTGTTGGCATTAATGAAAGTCAAAATTGAAAAGTAAAACAACAGCAACAACAAGAATTAGCATATTTCTATGGTATTCTTTATTGAATGGAATACTTCATTCGTCTAAACGCGCACAAGCATACACCACTTCACATACATACATTTTACAAATACAAACCTTCTGTTCTTGCTGCTGTAGAAAGTTATTTCCTATGATAAACAAATGCTTTGTGAACTTTTTGCATTTATTTCTGAAAAACAGTTTCGCTTTTCTTTGGTGACCCCCACATAAAAAAAGGGTGATTTTTTAAGAGCTATAGAAGTTTTCAAAAGAAAAAAAAACAGTAAGGAAAGTAGTAAAGTCGGACTGGGCCGACTATATGATACCCTTCACCACTGGGGATACATATGCAGAATATGTATCCTAACAGACGTCGCCTTTTCTAAGAAACATTGACATGAAATTGAATGAACTTAAATATGCGATCTTTATCTATAAGTAAACCGACTAACATCAATTCCAACACATGCCACTCTGCAACCTATTCTAAATTTTGTAAATAGATTTAAAGCACACGCACTGTTTAAAATGTATCAATCAGACATCCATTGATTATTTGGTGTACAGTCAACATGAAGAGGTCGAAATTATATATGGAAGCTAATCTGAACCGATTTCAAGGAAACTTAATAGATTTTTATTAATTTCTGTACGTGTATGGGTCTGTATGGGCCTTTAGTGTACCATTTAATTAAAATCGGACGAATATATATATATATATAGAAGGTATATGTAAATCAGAACTCTGTGCTAAATTTCGTGCAAATCAAAAGATATATAGGGACTTTGGTGCACCATTTACCTTAAATCGGACGAAACTATATATGGGAGCTATATATAAATCTGACCCGATTTTCTTGAAACTTAGCAGACATCATTCTGGACGTAATTCAGTACTCTATGCCAAATTACGTGCAAATCGAAAGATATATATGGGGACTTTGCTGCACCATTTACCTTAAATCGGACGAAACTATATATATGGGCGCTATATCTAAATCTGACCCGATTTTCTCGAAACTTAACACACATCATTCTGGACCTAATTCAGTGCTCTGTATTTTGTTAACAAAAATACATGGACGGACGGACAGACGGACATGCATAAATCGACTCAGAAAGTGATTCTATGCATATTCTCAAAAGGAACCATGGGTCTCGATTATTTTTGCCTGTTACAAACATGTGCACAAAGACATAATACCCTGTACCACACTGTCCTGGAAGAATTGTCCTATTAGAAGGAGTGGGTATTTCAAATAGGTTATTACATATAATGCTGCCAGCAATTACCGAATACCAAAGTGGGAAAATTTAGGAAAAGTTATTAAAAAATCGAAAATTATTTTATTTTTGCCATCAAAAAATGTGATTTTTTTAGTAAAAGTACAATTTTTTCATAATATATTCCTTTTTTGGATATGTCTGTTAACATTAACAGAGCCCTGTTACTGGTAAAACAGCTCTATTAACTTTAATGTTAATATGTCTGCTTCAGGTCTCTGCCAGTTAAATACCATAAGAATGCAATTTTGTGTAAAGAGGCTAATCTATGTCCCCGATATCCTCACAAAATCTGTCTTTGAGGTCTTGTGTCGAAAATGGGCTATTGTTATAGACCTTATCTCTCACGTAGTATCAAAAGATATCGGTGACTAATTGTGACCGCCTCTTTGAGAAATCCATAAAATTAAAAATTACCAAACCTCATTTTCGAAAAACTAATATCCAATGCCCAGCGGAACACTTATACGGGCGATATTTAATTTATTGATATATATATTGAAATAGTTTTGCGAAAAACTTACCATAAATACCAAAATTATAGTCCCTTCGGTTGAAGAATTCGGCTAAAACCTTAAAATCCTGCAAACTGGACGGTATACAAATCCTGCAAAGAACTATCGGTATACAAGGTCCAATACTTTAGTTCATCAAGTTTCTTTTAGTTCATGCGTTTATATATGTATTCGTTCACTTAGTTCATTTTTGTATAAAAACCTCCTCGTTGTCAGTTCCGCAAGCCGTGAGCTCTTCTACAAAGACACACGCCCTCCGGCGAAGAAAATCATTA